AAATATAATTTTAATAAATAACAAATATTTGTAAATTTTAAATTGCGCTTTTTTGAAAAATGGTGAAAACTGACAGTACTCAAAACTATACAGTAAATGCGGGATTTACGCTAAAAACGTCAAGGCTAACACATGTGGTAACATGTTACTGCAGCGCTATAAGCATTGCAGCGTGCGACAACTGATTCGCTAATACTTACCTTTCCAGGGATCCCTAGCTGCTTCTTCGTCAGTCTCAGCCACCAAAAAAATTTGCTGTGTCGGATGGTGTTTATCGGGAGTCAAGACGTCACCCCCTTTGTCATGTGATAGTGCTTGGACCCAATGATTTGCCACCAGACACTAGCCACGCACTGTTAAATAGAAGAAGGTCATATGCTCTCCTATACTGGAAAGCAACGGGTATGTTGTGCTGGCTAAGCTAGAGGCATACATGGTGGGGGATCACTGTTGATAAAAGTATTAGTGGCTCAGGGAGCCTAAATGGGGAAAGTGACAATATTTAATTAACACACGTGCAGTGAAGCACTGCAACACATTGAGCATATATGAAGGGGTGGCTGCCAAAAGTGCTGCATGATGGTACCAAGAACAGGGACTGGAGCAGACAGCTGGAGGGCACACAATGGAATGCAGGCAGTAGGTAGGGATAGCTGAGGGAGCACACATATTTTGCATGTGTACAGCTGTGATCAGTGGCTTTTCAGCCACTGGTCCCACTCATTCTCAAACTGTTAAGCATGCAGGGTATTACTCTTCTATAAATGAACACTGCTGCAGTGACCATGAATGTATAACCTAAGGTAATTCTGAAGAGACAAGGGTGGTCTGCTGCAAGCAATTCTGTTCTGACACAACCCTTACATCCTTGGCAGTATAAGGAATAAAGCTTAACTGCAGCCAAAATATTTTTTTGGATTTTGAATTTGGATGGGTAAGGAAAAGTTACATTTTCTGACAGGTTTCTGTTACTGTCTGTGACGCCTTTTGGGTCGATTTTTCGTCCCTGCCCTTTTTCATCCCTTCCCTTTTTTTGTCCCTTCATTTGGTTTTTACTGGGACATCAAGGCACAGACAGCATTGAACGCATTATTAGAAGTTCAAACCTTTCCTTATTCTATTGCATCTGAAGTTTGGCTGTTCACATTTGCCAACATTTTAAGTTAATAGATATCTGATTGTTTACATTCTTTACTAAATATTGGTTTTAATGAGCCAAAGTCAAATTCCTCATTTTAAATCCCTGAACTTTTAAATAAGATGATCATTGAACTTTATGCTATAAGCATAACCATATTTTTGACTGTTTTTCATTTTCAGATTACTCCTAGCTCCATAATGTAATATATTGGTATATACACACTCTATAGGAATTAATAGAAACAGGTTATGATAAAGTGCTTATATTTCAATAAAAACATGCACAGGATCCTCTGTGCAACAACTGACTGGATAGAGTAAATGAAATGCTTCTTTTAAAAAAAGGTCATCTACTGATCTCCAGAGAACTTTAAACAGCATGTAGCAATAATGAAACGTGCTCTTGTGCATATAACATTAATATTGCTAGCAGCACAGTACTTGGCCATAATTCATATTCATAATTACAGCAGCTGTTTCTGGACATGGCATGCTTCTTTTATACAAAAAAGTTAATTTCATATTACTCATTTTCTTCAAAATATTTCAAATTAGAATATTAACAAAGTGTGTAGCAATAGTTCATTTATATTGTAAGATTAGCATTTTGTATGTGTTCTTTGTTACATGTAGAGTAAACATAGTAAACATCTACAGAATATGCAGATTCTACATTCTTAGGGGCTGACCTTATATTATGACATTAGATTCCACTAAATTTTACAAAGCCGTAGTACTGTTCAACCTGCGTACAGACTTTGGAAAACGAGTTAACGACATTTCCCATCATTAGTAACTACAGTTGCCATAAAATTTTAAAATAAACCTTCTTTAAAGTGACCATGTCACCACAGCATTACTTTTACAAAGCACAGCCTGTAAAAAAAATAAGGCTCTATACTTACCTTTCCAGCAGCCGGTTTGTTGAAATGCAGCCATTTTGTTTTTCCCCTGGCCACCGCAGGTATTTGACTGTTCAAATAGGTCAAATACCTGTTACCCCCGCCGTATGCCTTAGTTTCTTTCGTTGGTTTGTACATGCTGAGCCAGCAGGAGGAACCATGGTGTGTGGTCAAGAAGCAGATTTTCCACACAACTGGAAGTATGGAATACGTGCAGCAGTCAAAGGTACAAAGCGAGAGAATTGCAACAAACAGGTCACTGAAAAGGTGAGTAGAGAGCCGTACCTTTAACGTTGTCTGCTTTGAGTAAAAGTAACCATGTGGTGACAGGTTTGCTATAATCAAAAACCCGCTACAAACAATTAAGCTGAGATTAACAGTTAGAAGTTGAGATGTCTGTACATACTACAGTTTATAATCCATGCACCATAATAAAACTTGATCCAGGGTGCGCTTAATATTCACTGGCCACTTCCACCTCCAAAAAGAAAGAATTTCTTAGACGGGCCATCTTATATTATAACAACCAATTTCAATGGGGATAGAACATTTTATTGAATGCTGTGGGGGCAACACGCACCGTTAGACAAAGACCTTTTCATAAATGAGGCTCTGTAATATCTTATAGACCTACATCCCTGAGGACTCATGCAGCATTTCTTATGCATTATTATGTACCATATGTAGTGACATAATTTCATGGTGGGTTTAAATATAAAATGAAAATTACACAGTTCATTAAAAATCAAGTAATCATTATTGAAAGGGATTCTGATAATTAATTTAGGGAAATTTTTATTCTATGTGTTACAAGAAAAAAAAATCTATCCGCTTTTCTAAAACTGTGTAAGGTTAAAAGTGTGTTCCTTGCTTCCAAAACAAGCACAAACCCCTGATATGCTGCCATTACTAGTTATCATGCTCATATATAATTGGCTAGTGCAATGATAAAGTTCTGAGTTTCACTTGTAGCATTATTACTACATACCAAATAATGGAAAGCATCTAATGTTATTCGCATTGTGGTGCCATCATACTTCCTATGTATTTTTCTGTTCTTTCTGACAGGCTGCCTAGAAGTTGTTCTAGTAAGAATGTGTCGTGCCTTCAATCCATTAAACAACACTGTTCTATTTGAAGGAAAATATGGAGGGATGCAGATGTTCAAATCATTAGGTATTTATTCTATTATTAAACTTAAAGCTGATGTTTAGTTATATTTTATTGGGGTGGGATAGAGCACCAGATACAAAAATTACCCCCAGTGAAGTGTATCCTACATCCTGCTGGCTGGTGTAATAATCCTTCCTTCTGTGATCCCAGATCCTCCTCACAGTGATGAACTTCCAGCACTGTATGGGTTAACTGCCCATGTAAGAGTGGAGGCTCTGTGCCCTTTGCACTCCCCTTTCACCTCTCTTGTCCATTCCAAAAATTAAGTATTAATTACACAGGGTGCAAGGTGATCTGTAAATGGTTGAGGGATGAAAAAATGACAGGATCACCCTTGCCCATTCACAGAGCGCCCTGCATTCTGTATAAATAGTACTTTTCTGTTTCAGGGAACTTTATTCTGGATATTTTTTAGATTGAGGGGGTCGCTTTAAGCACATATTCAGACTTGATTGCTTTTCTGATAACATTGGCCATCTCTCTCACTCTCTCTCTTCATTATTTATGGGTATGTTCTTTATAAAAGTACTGACTCCAACACATCATGTGTTAGTGTAATTTGTCATTTCTCGAGTACGCTCAATTTTTATGGCTTTCTTAGTTGGACCTTTACACCCAGAGAAGTGTCCTAACTCAGGGAAATGATGCTCGATAAAAAAAGCCTCCTGTTTGCTTGCTTAAGTATATGACCACTAAAGATTTCATCGTCAAGCTGTTTAGCTCGTTGCATATATACGACCCATATACATCACTGTTGTAACAAATACTTTTATCCAAAAAAGTTGAGTCATAACATTAGTATAATATTGGTCAGTATAGTGCTTACTTTAGCCTGTAAGCAGTAAACATCATTCTTGGAGTTTCATGATGAACAATGGAATTCTGTATTTGCACTTTTCGCCTTGACTAGCAGATCAGGAAAAGTCTTTTGCAGGCTCTATCTGCATTATGATCATACTAAATATCATTTCAATTATTCAGTCAATTGCACTGAAATAAAAGCATAGCTAAATTGTGCTGCAGTTCCATGAGAAAATATAACCTCTGGTAAAACAGTAATATAGACATATAAAAATCTATTTTAAAAGCCAATTAGATGTAGTCATTTTTTTTTCTCTTTCTTTCTCTCTCTGCGTGATGTCGATTGAAAATTGGAGATTTTAACTAACCAAAATACTATTTTCTACTAGCACCTGTTTTTGTGACATGATGGCAAGCTGTGTTGTGAACAGAACTGCACAATGATTAGCTTCTCCCTCTCATACTGCTTTCCTTGGCCTACAGGTTCCGATGATTTAGTGAATGAAGCATTCGACTTTGCAAAAAGTTTATGTTCCCTCCAGCTAACAGAGGAGGAAATTGCCTTGTTTTCTGCAGCCGTATTAATATCACCAGGTACTAATTATTATGTTAACAGCAAACATTGTCTATTTATACATGTTGCTCATCTTTCCTTTTTTTTCAAAGTATGTGTCTAGATCTGAAAATGATATATTTTCATATAAGTATGTAAAAAAAGCATGGATGTGTTAACGTACTTGTTTATGAAGGTGTTTACACACATTAAAATAGTTTATTTTACCCCTACCCTGCTTGTAACATTTTGTGGAAGAAGATTCTTCTTCCTATGGAAACTCTGAGTTTATCAGCTCAACGAGGCAAAAATATACTGTATATAACCTGAGTATACTGTACGCTATTATGGAAATGTTAGCGTGCTAAAATGCTTTTCCATCCTGAAATTTTTATGAATCTGAATGGCTGGTTTTCTATCCAGCCATATTGTAAGTCAGTCATCTTTTCCATATTATAAAAACCACAGTGTATAATTACCCTAATGCTGGCTGCGACCTTTATTGGCTATTTTTACTACAACAACTGGATAATATAAATAATTTATTGTTTTATTCTTGTATATTCTGTTACAGTGTATTCTATACTGACAATAATACATGTTGTACACACCTCAGAGCAACACACCCTCCTCTATGACAGACAAAAATGTAAATAGTTAGAAAGTTGCATTAGTACATCCATCTCTTAAACAACCATTCCTAATCGTTGTCACTAATATGGGTAGTCAGCATCTACCTGGACTCCATTATTTTGGATTTAGCTGTCGCTGTGCATAGCCAACTCTTTCCAGATCAAGCCTATATTGGCCTATATATTACTAGAGGGTGGTCCGCCATGCACAGGGCAGCTTAAGTTAGAGTGATTATTTCTGTGTGCATGCATTTGCCTATAATAACACCTAATTAGAAATTAGTGAATGTGAATGATCAAAACCCTGTACACTGGCACTGCACGCCATCTGCTTCTAAGGTCTCATTGTGGAGTATGGATCCACAAATACAACATTCTTATTTTGTTTCTATTTTTTTATGATTTTGTTTTTTTTTCAATTAAACTAGTAATGCATGCCCCCTTCCTGGCTATATGAGAGGTCATCCTTTTGACAAAAATACTTTTGACAAAATGTTTGAATACCTTTTTACACAGTTTAAAAAAAAATCTGTATATATAGGGACATATTCCTTTGTTTAGTTCACATAGACATTTAATAATTTTAGCACCATCTAAGTTTAAGCAGTTGTTAATACTTTTGTTGCACATATGCTGCTCTGTATTGCACATATGCTGCTCTGTATTGCACATATGCATCCCAATCATTTTTCCTTCCTGTATTGCATTAGATCGACCATGGCTGATAGAACCAAGGAAAGTTCAAAAACTTCAAGAAAGAATTTATTTTGCACTTCAGCATATAATTCAGAAGAATCACCTAGATGACGAGACACTGGCAAAGGTATGCGTCAGTCTCAAAAATTGCTTTTTCATGTACAGATGTGTTTCATCTACAGATGTGGACACATTTCTTACTACCCTAACATTTCATTAAAACAATGCTTACTTAATTTCTAAATGAAATTAAAAGAAAGTGTCTCATACCTGCATGTATGCTTTGGTATATTATAGATCAAATGGCCTAGACAGATTTGTTGGTACCCCTAGAAAAGATTATAAATAACTGGATCATAGTGATATCTTCAACTAACTGTTTTATTTAAAAATTGGGATAACACCTATTTTACATTTTGTTTCATGTTTCCATTTTAATAGCATTCTTTCTTTGCAATGTTAGAAAAGGCTGTAAGGGGTGAGGGATCTGAGGTGGCTTCTCCTATGTATGTCAATGAAGCTTATCAGGCAAACACAATCCTCAAATTTCAGTCCTAAGCCTTACACTATACGATTATCATACGAGAATCACGGGAAATGCCACGATCGTACGACAATCGCAAAGTGTATAGAAACGGTTGCACGTCTTCCGTCGAACAAGCAGGCTTGAAAACCCGCCGAGAATCGCACTAGTGGCCTGCTTGTTTGACAACTGCCGAACGGGCCGGTGTGTGCACGCGCACACTGCCCGTTTGCAGTGATCGGAAGCCCGCCCCTCCTTACGGTCATCGGAAGCCCCCCCGTTAGCGGGGCTGGCTTTCGATGATCGCAAGTACGATCTGCCAAGATGGGCAGATCGGCAGATCTTTTAATAAGCTTACGACCATCGCAAGACAAAAGTCTTGCGATGGTCGTAAGGTGTATGGGCACCTTTAGTGTGGTCTGACCAGATTTCAAATATAGTCTGCTCAGTTCATTAAAATAATGCTGTGGCAGAATGTTTTCAATATTTATTATGTGATTTGGGGTGTTTTTCTGACTGCAGTCTTGGCTTTCCTTTGAGTGCTGTATTTGTTTGTCACCTGCCCTCATTGTGTTGCCATTCTGCCCGCCCTGACCTGTGCTTTTAATACAATCCTGTGTGAACACTGACGACCAAAGTTTGCTAACAGACTACGCTCTTGTGTTTCAACTTTGTAATTTGCTGCAGTTCTCAGATTACATGTCATTGAGGTTGGTTTACTGAAGGAGTAGATGTTGGTCACTTAACAACGTGAGTGTTTACTTTGCAAAGTGAAATGATTGAAGAAATAAAACTTTATTTAATTCACTAAGCAAAGTAAACATTCACATAAGCAAAGTGAATGTGCATTTTCCTTTAGTAAATCAACCCCAATGTCTCCACTTAGATATACCTTAGAGCCTAACTTTGGCGCATCATACAGAAAAACCCACATGTCTGCCTGAAGGCTCCTGGTGAAGACCAGGCGTCCTTAAGTTCCCATGCCTTAAGGAATCCCATGTTTCCCTCTGTAAACAAAGAGGGTCTTCAAAACCCAATGAAGATTGTCCAGGCCATGGTAATAATTTAAATTAATTCTGTTTTCTACAAACTCAAGGTTCCTTACTCTTTTGTATTCTCAATTTTTTCACATCTTTCACATTTGGTTAGGAATCTGGATTCTGTTTTGGATTTGTTTTTATGTTTTATTTATGTATTTCCCTGGGCACTATCTACCCTGACCAATGTCTGTCTAGCGGTTTTGCCCGAACACCCCCTATCCTCGACATAGATTGTTTATGTACAACACTTGCATGTCAACTTAGTACTCTGCTGTTGTCAGTGTAGCAGTGTAGCAAGCTGTGACCTGGCAGTGATATGCAACAAAACCCATATTTCCTTTACTTTTTAGATCCCATGCCCCAGAGGAGTCCTTTCTTCCTGGCAGAGATGTCTACACTATTTGTGACAAGAAGTGCAAAGAGCAATGATAATGTGAGAAGCACAGAATCAGAAATCATTTCTAAACTGATCTGGCTTGCTGAAACTGACTGGTTGCTAATGCACTTTTCACATTCCCATGGCTCTCTGTTTTGCCTTCTAGAATAAGCCAGTTTTATCTTGATGCTGTAATCCATACTTGTATCTAAACACATGTACAACATTAGAATTATTATATTATGTCATTATATTAAATAAAAAAAATGTTGGAAATGGCTTTTAATCCTTGTGGAAAAATGTAATGCACTATACAGTGTTATCCGTCCGAATCTGCACACTGAACCTCTCATGTACAAGTTTATAAAAAACACAGCGCACTAAACACATTTTCGTAAAAGGGGTTGAACTGAGTTTAGTGCATAAATACTATTCATCTTCAACTTATAGTTATACACTAAGCTAAAATTCTGCATATCTCTACCAATATAGTGGATGTAAACCCTCATGTAAAGAAATCAGTATAAAGTGCAGATCAATTGCCTATGCAGTGTCACTTTTTAAAAAAAATTCTCCTTCTAAAACATACTTTTTCAGTACATTGCAGCAGGTATGACTAGGAATGAATATATGTACTCAGGCTTGATTAGTGGGCCATTCGGCAAACCCAACATAAATGTTAAAATTTGCAAACTTAAATCCGAACCCCAATAAAGTCTATGGGAAAGAGGGGTGTGGACCTAGAACATACATTTGCCCATTTGTACAGCTATCGCATCACATATTTTGCATGTTTACTCATTTTTTTTTTTAATTTTACATTTTGGTTTGACTTAGACAAAAGCAGCAGAAGGACCCCAATCTGATAAAAAAAAAATGCCGGTAGTTTTTGATGAGACATGATTTTTCTATCCAGCAGTAACAGGCATGAATTGACCAGTGTGAGCAGCAGTCACAACGTATCTAAAAGCTACTTTTGTATAAATTGGCCATTGCCACAACAGTTTAATAGTATAGTTTGTGCTCTTCTTTTATGTAGTAACCCAATGCATTGTTTTAAAAGTTTAATAAAATGGCAAAATAGTAAACATAAACACTTTAAAACTACAACATCACATTCCAATAACCCCACACCTCCCGCCACCCTCATATCCACAATTAATTGCAAAATATTCCAAAATAGACTTCAGTTATGTGCTTGAGATACATTGGCTAGTATCAGGACAGTATGTGAGCACTTGAATAGGAAGTTAATTGAAACAGCTCTGCAGTGTGGTCCTTTTTCACATATCTGCTACCATCAGCCTCTGCCTGCAGCGTATCAACCATAGTAAAAGTATCAGCCATTTGGGTACCACATGCATGAGGAAACACATTACTATGTACCAAAGAGCTCAGTGGGAGCAGCATTTTATTCAGACAAGTCAGGACACATAGCAGCTTCTTTCATTTAGAGTACTACTAATGTACCATTTTCCTCAAGGGCACATTGCATTAATTTATTTTAGCCCTGCTGATGCTCCCTTTTCCTCCTTCTCTTTCTCCTCAAAGGTGCATAGCAGCTGTTTCTTTTGGTGCAAGGTCATGTAGAAACCATTTATTTTGCGATTTTTATTTATTCTCATCCTGCTTCAAAGCACAGAGCAGCCACTTGCCTTTGTAGTGCTGCTCCTGCGCCCTTCTCCTCTGCTGGGCTTGGCCTCTCCCCGTCTCTGGCTATGAGGAGTTGGCAGAAATGTGAGTTGCTGCTGTCCCCAGGGCTGGTCCACAGACCTCTGCTTTGCTGCTGTGGAAGAAAAAAATGGTAAATTACTCTCATGCTCAGCGTCTTCATGCCAGCTTTACCTAACACCCTGTTGATGGCTGTTTTGTGGCCTGTGCTACACCACAATGTCATTATTTTACTCAGATAACCATATGCCTGCTGCCACTACTTTTCCCAGAAAAACATCTCTGCCCTCCACCAGCATGTGGAATGCCATGATGGAGCAGGTAGTGGAGGAGGAATACGAGGAGGAGTAGGGTTGAGGTGCTGGCGGGAAAGAGAAGTTTTCAGGTGCTGGTGGTGAGGAGGAGGAGGGTTTGGGTTGTGGTGGTGAGAAGTAAGAGCGTTGGTGGGGCTGGCAATGAGGAGGAGGAAGAAGTTTAGGGCTGCGTTTCACCCTTCCCCAATACAAGGGGGAAATCTTGGGGTTCTACTGCCACCATCTCAGAGGGTGCCCAACATACCCTACTTTAAGTGTGCCAGTCATTTACGAACAGAAACTGAAAACAAGCTCAGTCATGAAGGGGTTAAAAAATCAACATTACAGTGTATTTATTTCACGCAAAAACATTCTAATGAGTACAGTCTTTAAACCTTTTACTGAACATGAAATCCTAACTCTCCTTTTTTCTTCCATCTAACTGAATTAAAAAAAAAACATAAAAACATGAAATAGAAAAACACACCCCAAAAAAAAACAAAGTCTCTGCACACACTTCTGATCTGTCCCTTATCTGCTATAAGAGTGCAAAATACATTGAGGGATACATTGAGATTTATCAGGACAGGAGTAGACAAAATCTGGAGCAGTTGCCATTGGCAACCAATCAGCTTCTCTCTTCAGTTTGTTCAGTTGAGATTTGAAAATAAAAGATGGAAGCTAATTGGTTGCAGTGCACAGCTGCTCCAGACTTTGTCTGCTCCAGTTCTGATAAATTCCCCCCACTATGTCTGTGACTTGGTGTAAATGTAGACATTTTCAGCAATATACATCAGCATCAAACTTTTCCTGAAAACCCTGTTTGATCCCAAGCCCCCTATAGGAGCTTGCAAACCACAGTGTGTCTGTGACTCAGTGTAGATATAAATGTTTTCAGCAATACCCAGCACATCTAACTCTACTTGGAAACACTCTGTAATCTCTCACTAATCTGCTATGGGACTGTGTAACACACTGTTACTGTGCCTGTGACTCAAATTAAATATAGATGGACATTTTCAGTAATCAGCACCAGTAATAGCACCTAGCTTTTCCTGCATTCTGTTATATTTGCCTGAACTACCCCATGTCTGCTCCAACTCACACTGAACAAAAGCTGCTGGGAACCTTATACGTAAGAGGCTAGCAAATAAGAACATCACAATTATTAGGTGTTCTAAGCCATTTTAGGAAGAGGTCTGGAAGTGCATTGGTGTGTTGGCAATTAGTAGCTATTGGCACATACAGCAGCATTAGTATGCCATTTGCTCAGACTGTGGAGGACTTGGGTCCAACTGGAAATGATGATTGAGCCAAAACTGAAGTTCATTCCCAGGTATTAGCATGGGCCATAGCCATAAGTGTTTTTGGACTACACAGGCCATGCCAGTCTGACAACACGGTCTCTGCTGGTCTGTCCCCTAGTGTCAAGCCGAGCAGGTGGGCATTGCAGAAGAAGAGGAGGGGTAAATGGGTAGGTCTCTAAGCCAAAACTTAGGCCGAATGTGCAGGCGTAGAGCATGTATTTCTGATTAGAAGCACGCTAAATAAGGTGACAATGCTGCACCTGCATTAAAACCCTGGGAGCAAGTATTTTCAACCAATGGCAGGAAGTTCTGGAGAAGACTACTTCTGGCAGAATCACCAGTAACATAGTAGGAGATATAGAAGTAAAACAGTAAACGATAAAAGACACAATTAGATGAGAACTATGGGGTCAGTGTTTTTCCCCATAGTTCTCCTTAGGGTAACGGGAGGACACAAACTAGCGTCCTCCCGTTACCCTAAGCTCAGTATACCGCGAGCTCCAGCTCGCGGTATACTGAGACGCCGGAGCGGATCCCGACTTAGATGACGGGATCCGCACAGCTGCGTGAGTGACAGCTGGCTCTGCCTCCCGATCTACTGAGCCGACCTGTGACAGTCTCATTGTCACAGGTCGGCTAGAACTATGAGGTGAGTGAAAAGCACTCACCTCATAGTTCTCCTTTAAGAAAAGAAGGCATACCCTTGCATACACTTTAAATGCACTTCTAGATACCATTTCCACACAGCTCCATCTTCTTTGATATTTAAAGATTGCAGGCTGACCTAAATAGAAGGGTGACATCTGCTGCAGGCAGGGGTAACCGTAGAACACCAGAACCATGGAAGTGTTCAGGATAGTGCTGTGTGAAATAGGAGCATGGCTTTGAAATAGATGTAGACCAACTCTTTAAAATGTTACTTTTAATTTCAAAACTTATTTTCAATCTTTTTAGATTTGCAGCTTTTTTTTAGAATAATAATACCTGCAGAACTTGCATTAGGGTCTTAGTTCCGGCACTTCCTGTTATAAGGTGACAATTCTCTGTGCCTGTCTCCCAGTTGCTCATCTATGGTCTCACCATGTCACATGCACCTCTGGTGAAGACTTTAAGCACCCATTTCACATTTTCTGGTATAGTCATCATCAGAAAGCCAGTGATGAGCAATGACATGCAGACACTACTGGAGTGCATGCATGTAGACAGAAAGTTGGCTGTAAAGAGGCTTCAGGTGATCAGCAGTACTGAGGTGCAAACAGGATGGAGACCAGTGTTTTCTAAAAGGAAAAACAATTGTTTATGGTACTCTGTGCTTTAGTAAACTAAATGTCATTCATTTACTGTTTATACCAACTTTAATAGTATGTACACACCGCACTATATTACCCACCCCCCTACCTTCCCAAATAAGGGTGATTTAGTGAACTGTACCTTTAAACTTACAATTAACCTGGAAATTGAGCATCCTGCTTATGTAATTGTAATCACTCTTTTCCTTTCTTCACAGTTAATAGCCAAGATACCAAACATAACTGCACTTTGCAACTTACACGGAGAGAAGCTGCAGGTATTTAAGCAATCTCATCCTGAGATAGTGAATACATTGTTCCCTCCTTTGTACAAGGAGCTTTTTAACCCTGACTCAAGCACTGGCTGCAAGTGAAGACAGCTGGATCTTTCACATAGCTATGGAATGCATCACTACTAAGACAAAAGAAATGTGCTCAAAAGGACTTACAAAAACCACAAAAAAACATCACTACAGCAGCACTAGGAATGTCCTGCACTTACTAGAATTATTTTTCACCGCTACAGTTTGAAGAATGTAAATACGCACCTCTGAGTGAGGCTCTCTCATTCTCTTCTTTAATAACTATTTTATTTTCCTTTGGAACTGATCGTTTAACACTTTAGTTGCCAGAGGTGGGGCAAAATGAAAAAGGTATTGCAAACTCCCTGGTAGCTGAAGCATCTATCTTATTATATAGAACACTGGGTGTATTTACTTTTTTATATATAATTTGAGAGACAACAATTTATAGAATTTTATTGTAGATATCAAGAAGAATATGTACTTCTACAGTATTACTCTTCTTTCTGGATTATTTCCAATTTAATTTAAATTTGACTTTTTTCTATGTCATTTGTGTAATGCTATATTATACAATAAATTCTACTTTTCTTTCTGTCTTTCATTGATGATGTTGTGTTTTACCCTCCTTGAATTTATGTATTTATGTTTGGGCAATCAAGTTTCAGTTAGCGAAGCCATTGTTTAAACAATAATTGTTGCCAATGTATTGTACACCTTCCAAATGGTAATACACCACTTTGGGTTAGTAGAGTATCACGCATGCCGAGTGTGTAATGTAATACTTTAGCAAAACACAATCTCCTTCAGATTTTCTTCCACAAAAGCCATGATTGTAAAATGTACACTTACTCTTGTTAACTCAAAAATAGCAGGATTTATCTACAAAGGAAAATATATATTTTTATTGAATGGTTTAAAGTATATATATCTTTGTACTTCAGATAAACTGCTGATTGTTAGAAACAGAAAACCGAATCATTGCAATATTATCATAGTCACTACACTGATAGCAGATCATTTTGGACCTAGGTCCAGTTCAAATTAAACCATTATTTGTATGGCTATACATGCATACCACAGCTACTACTACTTACATGGCATTATTGTGTAAATGTAGACAAACGCACATTTGTGACTCCCCCCTACCCATAGCACTGGTCATCTAAGAAAGCATCTGGGTCTTATCATTCTCAGCCTTTTAAAATAAAAATGCAGATTTACTTAAACCCTACACAAACTTCACAAACACTGCTTCTATGATGAATTCATGGTTATCACTAGAAATCTGCAACCTAGTGGGCTAGAATCTGCCACATGTAGAAGGTATGTATTGTCTGCTTGACAATGTGATTACCTAAAGGAAGTAGGTCCACTACTCTCAAAAAAGGCTTTAACCCATATGCCCTGTGAGCTAGTTCTGCCTCTTCAGATATCATAAAAATAATGCTGTTTATTGGCATTTCAGTAGGCCCTAGACATAGTCATTTGGAAAGTATACATTTATATAAACTTTGCACCTGTAGATTTATATCTTTAAAAGCATTTGTTATTGAACCCTTTTATAGCCAACAATACCTTTTTTAGATAATTAAAATAGCACATGTGCGTAGAGCTCAAAGTAACATGAGGTTCTATAGCACTATATTTCTGAGGGTGCTCTGTAGTTTTTTTCTGTGTCAGTCTTGAGTATTAATAGTTTTATCTAAATGACTGAGGAAAGATTTTTTAAGTATTTGATGGACTTCGAGTCATATCTTTAAAGCTCAAGAAACAAAGATTATTCCCCAGCTCCCACCCTTCTCACACATACATACTGCCGGTATTAAATGGAATCCTGTATTGCTTCTTTTTTTCCTATCAAAACTTCTATGACAAAAGTGGTGTTTCCTGTCCATTTGACGATCCCATGCAAGTAATTAGGTAACAGCTGTCTGCAGACAAATTTACCACCCTCATTCCTTTACTAGAAGAGTCTAATCTTTTTTATTGTCAATGTCACTTCTGTGAGCCTTTTGTTCAAATAATTATTTCCAAGGGTCATATTCTGTTTTAATGGAAGATTACGTTGCTGATTGCTAAAACACCAGGGTAATAGATGAGTTGCCAATTAAAGCAAGCAGTTCAACAGATCTCTAGGAAATGGTGCTCTATATTCTGAGATTATTAGGGTCTCTGATGATGTATTAAGTGGTATCCATCCATTATCCTGTTGCGAAAACAAGCATAGCCCCCTTAGTCATAAAAACTGTGCACTTCCTGTGTAGTGAACAGATTTGACTCAAAAACACAGCACAGAAAATAAAACTTTAAGAACTTTAATGCAAAAATGTATTAAGTAATAAACCACAAAGGTGTGCAAGCACCAAGTAAACCATAAATCACTAAAATAAAACACAAATGGTTTCTTGTGTTTTTTATTGGTTCCTTGTTTTCAGCATATGACTAATAATATGAAGATGCAATGAACCTATTTCTTTAATTATGTTCCTACAAAGAAGGCACAAAATGACAGCAACATTACTGAGGACACAGCTATAAAATTCATAACAAAACTCTACCATAAAATGACTTTTCTTTTTAGAAATCAATTTACATTTTCATTGCATGTTGTATAAATGGCACATACTTCATGAATATCAGGCCAAGTTATTTAATGTAATCTGTATGTCTAGTAATGGCTACACAACTAGCCATACAAATTGAATGATTGAGCAATTGAAGGATTTTTTTTAATGCTTGGTGCATAGTGTATATCTTTTGCATCTTGCATAGGCTGTCAGTCATAATGCCAGATTTATCTGTAGAAAATTCCAGACTGGCTGATTGACTTTCTGTCCAAGTTGTTTGCTGTGGTCATTCATACCTTACACACTGCCAGTGTGAGATTTCTGTCAGGCAATAGGTGAATAACAGTTACACAACAGTTACAGGCACTTTCGTGTATAGAGATTAGTATTTGCAATGCATTCTCTTTATCTCCTCTATCATTGTAGAACAAATGACAATCACTGCTTAATGCAGAAATTGCACTGTATATCTCTCAGGGATCCTTGCTACTAACAATAATAACTGATTGGAAGACATATATAGTCTTCCCTACATTACATATGTCATAAACAAAAGTTAGGAGATGAAAAGCAGATATCTATTGCTAGAATAAATGCTTGGCTGATAAACATCTGATCTTCCCTTTTGACAACAAAGAGAGTTTACAATCTAGAGGCACTAAACAGGTTGACAATCTTTTCCCAGCAATAATTTACATCTGCAGGTACTAAATTAAATTTCAGCATGTGGGGCACCTGATGTTTATTGGTCAAGGGAATCATACTTTCTTGATACTTTAAAAGTCAAAACAGATATCAAACATGTGTTTCAGATGTCGTGTATTTGGCCTGCATAAGATTTCAGAAACCTGCATCATAAGATTCATAAGATTTTCAGAACCCTGCAATACACCTGTGTTGCTGCTTTTTTAACCATGTATTCATACAGACATAAAGCTGATCCAGTTAGCAGGGATTTTAACTTTCAAAATAAGTATAAAATGTAAAGGTGCACACCAGTCAGAATAACACAATTAAGTATTGAAATTCATACAAGGAGCACATACTTAAAAATGTTAAATCTACAAGAAGCTCTAGGTCTTATGCTTACCATTTATCACTTTCCTCCTAAGTGATGTAAAACCTTTATGATTATTTTGTTTGTTCAGGGAACACAAGTAACCTACTCATTAATTAAGCTGTCCTTTTCATTCTATGCTACAGTGCACCAGTCCGCCCTAGTCTTTGTTGGTACCGTGGGTGATCTGAGAACCTGGGATTCTGATGAAACAAGAGAATTCACCAACACACACTGCAGGCTTCTTGATGTCTATCAAATATTAAAACCCTAATGTAAAAAAAACAGTACTAAGAAGTTTACCACAGACACCAATCAAATGTACACTTGTCTTTTTATAATAGAAACCGAGAAAGGGGCAGGAAGTACAATCCCAGTACTTATGTTTGGTGCTCCCTGTGTGCTAGATAGCTTTAGTAACCCTTTATATCCTTAACATGGAGTTCCAGCAGTATGGCATGTCCTGCCTACATATATTGATTTGGATAAGTGACATGGCCATCCCAGAGTGCCTGGAGTGTCTTTGCTCAGATAGACAACTGAGCCTGGTACAGGTCCAGGGTTGCTCTGAAAATGAACATTACCCATGAAATGATTGTTGAAGGAAACTCCTCAGTTATCTCTGAAAAGTACAATTGTGACTTTCTATTTGTTGTTGGTAGATCTAAAAAAGACTGTACAATCAACATGTATAGTATATGGCCAGCTTAGTAGAAAGAAAAGTAAAAGAGCAATTATTCTGCAGCACAACCAAGCAGGTAGCATATTCTAAATATAAAACACGTCACTGTCCCCGTATACATATTTAAAAAAAATTATTCTTAAAACATTAACATTCTGTTATGATTATTGACATGAAGCTAAATATAATAAGATGCACTTCAAGAAAAGTTATAAAATATTATGGATTCTCTTTAATAAAGGCCAAAGAATAAAAAGAGTATATCAAAACAATGATACTCTTTTTAAAAAGGTATTTTATGTTATATTTATTTTTAGATTGAACAATGATTAAACCCTTGCAAATATTTTTATACAAAACTGTTAGCATTAAGTATGAAGTATTGTTCTTAGTTAAAATACTTTCAGATATGAGCTCTAGACCTCAGCCAAACCCAAGAGTTTAGAATAGCAATGTAACTCTAAAATGATAGAGTGCCCAGCTATTGTGATAAAAGGGTTTAGGTCAGCAATATGGTGCAAACTCTACCTACCTACAGTGAGAAGAAAAAAAAAAGTCCCCCCTGACCATAAAAATCAAGTGTCCCCTCGCTTGTAACTGTGCTGCAGTACAAGACATTCCACACCATGCAAAGTTAATAAGTACAATAAGATGATAGGTGTTTTTGATTGCCATCATTCACTTGTTGATAAAATAAAATAAACTTTCTAAAAAAAAACAAAAAACTTTTTATTGTCACTTTTTTGTTAGTTTCATTGTATTT